GCCCTCCAGTTGGTCCCAGTTTAGACCCAGCCTACACCCAGTATTTAGTCCCCATTTAGTCCCACCCTCCAGTTGGTCCCAGTTTAGACCCAGCCTACACCCAGTATTTAGTCCCCATTTAGTCCCACCCTCCAGCTGGTCCCAGTTTAGACCCAGAATTCACCCACGCTGGTCCCAGTTTAGTGCAAGCCTCAACCTTTGTTAAGTCCCAGCCTACACCCAGTCTGGAGTTTAGGTTTAGGTCCAAGTGTCAGGTTTAATTCAATTCAGTTGGTTTCTATAGCTCCAATTCACAACACTTGTCATCTCTTTACAGAGACAGTTGAACCAGATCATCCAGTCAGATTGATTCAATGTGGTTTTCCAAGTCGTTCCAAGTCAGCTGTCCTATAGCAGCGTAACCATAGAGATAGCTCAGGATAAGCTAAGGCCACTCTAACTATAAGCTTTATCAAAAAGCTAAAGTTTTAAGCCTAGCCTTCAAAGCAGTTAGACTGGTTTCAGGCACAGATCAAACTGTCCAATCACAGGACGGATCCTTCCTGATGATAAAGCAGGAATAGAGGATGATGATGGTGAGGAGTTTTTCTTTATCTGGATCTAAATTCCACAAACACATCTTCTTCAGGTGTTTTTCATCCGTCTGTTGATCCTGATTGACTGAGGAATCTGTGGTTTGCTCGGATTCAATCCCATTTTAATCCTCTCGTTTCCTCTGGTCTGATCATCGTTTTTCATTGACTTTCCAGATTGTTCCAGAAGCTGAACTGGATCTAAAGGTGGTGGCAAAAGGTCAAGGACTGGCTCTGTTCCAGGTACCCGTGTCTCAGCCCCCCCTGCTGTTTGGTCCTGGTATGCCGCCCTCTCATTCTTTCCGTCTCTTGCGCAGCTGAACGTGTTTTACAACATCAGGACGGAGGAGCTGATGAGGAAGAGACGGGACACGCATGAAGATGAGGCCTTCCATCTATATGTGGATCTGTTTGACTCGGAGGAGAACCACGCCAGTCTGCACGTATGCAGCAGGTGAGAAGGTCACATGATCCAAACAAGGGGCGGAGCTAGATTGGCCACGGCCTTCCTTAACCAATCATTTTTTACCCTTCTAATGCAGACTGTGAATACTCTATCTTATTCAAACATTTAAATTTTTCATATATTAACAATTACTTGACAACAAAAACA